CTTACCTAAGGAACACGATATGTCGATTAATCTGAATGGACAGCCGCCAAAATTTGAATTCATATGGCGCGTGCGTGGGAACGGCCAGAACTTTCCTTACAACCTAATATGTTGGTCGGTAGGGCAAAAAGTAGGCAGAGCTCACATTAGAAACGTACACTTATATCCAAAAAAAGTTCTAGAGTCCAAAAAAAATATTAGAGGCTATCAAGTAAGGAGAGGTAAAATTTTCTGTCACGTGGGCTGGCCACTGTAGAGGTGGAGCTCAGATCAATAATCTAATCTGGTTCAGAAACAGTGCAAAGCCCCACGAAAACCGAACAGAGAATGCCAAAAAGAGGCTGAATCTCTCTGGTAGAGGGATGTGCGTGGATAGGTGGAGCTGAAAGTCATAACTGACAGTGCTATACAAGCAAGTACCAGAGCCCGATAAGCAAGCGATAGTTTAGCTAAAGAAGAGTGATCCACAACGAAATAGCCGAGCCAAGTTGCGATAATACGATAGAAGGAAGGCTCCTTGAGTATGACATAATCTGAGGTAAACTGCCCACGGTGAGTGTGCGAAAAATTAGTGCTAGCTATGCAAAAAAAATTGCACTATGCATCTGAAAAATGAATAGATGTAAAGAAAGAGTGGTCAGAAGCTCGTGGTAAGTAGGAGGCACATAGATATAAGCGTAGCCTAAACCTAGAGTATGCAACCTACTCGAAATTCGGTCTACAGCTCATTTCAAGTCTCTAAATTTCCAAAGAGGAAAGGGAGTAGAGGCTACAAAAATAAAAGATTTCATGTTCAGGGGAGGAACAAAGTAGTATGAGCTATCGTCTCTATATTTTTGACACCACCTCACATACAGCCTCCCTGAAATTGAAGCTCCTCATCTTGAATGCTCCCCACAACCAAGTAGTATCCTCCTATTGTAAGACCGTTGACTTGTTTTTCAACACACGCTGATTATGCCACGCTGAATAAAGGTCAACTGAAGGGAATAAGGCTGATAGAAGGAGGAAGAATTTAGAAAGAAAGACATAAACAAGGAAGAAAAATGAAATCACCCGAGAATAGAAAAAAGAATTACTGTGGATTACGAAAAACGAAGAAAGATACGACCCATCTGAGTGTAAAGAGAAAAATGCAAACTTGAAGCCTACTACGTAAAAAAAATCGCAAAAAAATAAAAAGAGACTTACCGTGCTCAGAATTTCTGACAGAATACTCATGTTGTACTACTCTAAGAAGATAATACCAGAGACCGAGTCACCTGGACGACGCACCAATTGCTCCAAAAATGACACTACAAAAGCTACATTAGGTTTTGCGACTTTTACGAAGGATTAACAATAGCACAAAGAAGGACAAAACAAAATTTGCAAACTGTCTAGCTATTGGCATTCAGTTTCTGTACATTCTTAAAGTAAGTACATTGTTAACGTAACGGAAAGAAGCAATGCATCAAATGACAAATAAGCCCTCTTCGTAAGTAAGCTAGAAAAGTTTAGAAGTTGTTATCACTGAAAAAAGCAAATAATATGAAAAAGCTTATGATTGAGATTCACGGATGCTGGTGCTTGGTTTCAAATCGTTAATTTTGAATATTGCTCGATCCACATCGATGTTTCCACAAGCTTGAGTACTGACGTAGCAAACACCGTTGCATAAATCCATGTTTCCACTGTTTGAATGTTAAGAAAGTGACCATAGCTCAACAGTCACCTAAACCTTAAGTGCAGCCTACTTAAGCAGCCCAAATCATTCTCTAGTAATTAGGAGTCTCTAAGTAGTAAGTTCATGAACCTCAACATGATTGTGGTGTAGCCTTGATGAAGCTTATGCTTCAAACTCTCACGAGGTACGATGTATTCCATGAAAGACTTTATGGTTAACATCATGACGATACCATCTTCCTTGAGCTATGAATGGAACAAAAATAATCCTCGGATATCCGAACAAACTCCTTCACAGCCCTAACGAAACTCTGGATACCCACCCACTGCACGTAGGCAATCAAAAAAGGACATTCATCGTGGCTAAGAGATACTTGAGCGGGGACATCCCAGCATAACATGGAAAACTACAAAGAAGTAAAAATAATGCTGTTTCCTTTCGAAATTGCGTAGAACAAGAGGATTTTTTCCATAACGAACGGCAGTGTTAACGCTGCAGTCGCGCAAAACGCGATTGGAGCGCGCAGGTGCAGAGAAGTGCAGCAGCGGGGTGAATGCTGTCAAAAATTAGCCTATGAAGGGAGCTCTTGAAAATAGCCCACAATGCATTCGGGGAGAGAAGAAGTGGACATTTTCAAAAGTTCTACAGCATTCCTTCCGGGATTCGATCTTTACTTGTACGCACATTCCTACTAGTCTAGCGCTCTCTCATTCACATTTCGAACACTGCAACAAAACGATCGAAGCTCACCTTCCACAACCTATGCCTGCGATTTATTGATACCTTGCCCTTATCATGATTTGCATAGTACGGCCACAGTTGAGCTTATGCGTCGATATGCCGGTACCTCTCGAAAGGACAAACACACTCAAACAACTGTTTAGTATCTATTAAAGCCTACTCTGACAATAAACAGGTCTAAGTAAAGCAAGAATGGAGTACATGTGCAAATCAACACCACATAAACAAAAAACATCTACCCAAAACCCTTTATTTGAAATCTGATGACTAACAACATCGATCAAACAAGTTACATCGATTCGGGTAAAGCGAATAGCACAACCTCCCAAGGAATAACTTTCAGTGACAATTTTGAAATCTATTGAACATAAGAATAATCTTACGGGACCATCTGCGACTCACTTCTATTTGACGGCTGTATTGGTCGAGGCTGATCTTCGTGGTAGGAACACTGATTGAACAAATATATATATATATATATATATATATATATATATTTGTTCAATCAGTGTTCCTACCACGAAGATCAGCCTCGACCAATACAGCCGTCAAATAGAAGNATATATATATATATATATATATATATATATATATATATATATATATATATATATATATATATATATATAACTAAGGTGAGAAGGACCTCTCTAACGAGTACCTAGTGCTAAAAAGAATCTTTTGATCATTTCCTAACATCTGTGACTAAACCAAGAGGCACACATTGACCGACAACAAATTAGACACTTTTTTGATGATGATGATTTTGTCTGAGAATAGCTGCAGTGAGCAAGGATGAATTGCAGTGAGGCCCTTGGAACTGACCGATACAACTGCCCGTCCCGAGAGGGACGACAACAGTGCATTTAAATCATATCGTTTTCTAATCTGTATACACTTATACGTCTTTGGAATGAAAATCGTAAAGATTATTGACTAATATATTATGGCATGACAACCCATGGTGAATTAAGCAGCAAAACCACGCCGAATCTACTAAATCACAACTGACGAACATGATAAGTTTAAACAATGTCAAAACTGACTAGAACTCTAATTTCGTTGTTAGGAAGGAATATATGAAGAGGAGCCGAGGTACTGCATTAACTATCTTCACGAAAATATTGTGAAACGTAGTAGGCAGTGTCGACATTTGCTAATGCTTGTTGAGCGAACAAAATGTCAGATTTGATGGCATCTCGTAGTGCTTCTGCAACAATTTCTCCAGTAATAAGGTTGCTGGGATCTTCTACTATTCAATAAAAAGAGAAAACTAGCCAAACTTACCTAAATTAACATAGGCGGACATTGAACGTATATATCCCATTAGAAGAACTTCAATCATAGAGCCGTAGAAGTCGTGATCATATTTTTCAAGAAGATGTACTTCCTTAAAAAAGGCAATCGGAGTTTGGGTGCAATCTGCTCATGTGCCTTGGAACAAGCTCGATTGTGACTGTTATGAAGGCTTTTGCGATTTCTTACACAGAATTACTGCGCTTTTTCTTTTCGAAAGCCGAAAATAGTGTTCAAGTCCTACTCTACAAACAACAATACTGAACCTATGTCCCTTACTTCTTACCCCATTCACCAATTCTAGCTTGTTGGTTACTGACCGGGTACAATATAAAGGGGGAATTCCGCAACAAACACATACCAAAGTTTTTCTTTCATTTTGATAGTGAGGATTCCAGCCGACACTTGCCACCATTTGGACAACCTAAAACACTATTTTCAGGCTTGGAAGAAGTTTGAAAAGGTCAAGTGAATATATATTGACCTGCTTCCCTTTTATTCTAGCGAGGCCGTAGAAAACACCACAAGGGAGATCGGCTGGTAATGCTTGAACAACCGCCTCTTCTAGATTGGCTGAAAATTGTGGTTCGTATTAAAACCAAGGAAAATCATAATAAGAAAGTAATGAACCTGATCTTTTGATGGAAAAATAATGCTGCCGCTAATGCTAATTGAAAGACAATCATTACCAGTTTCAATCCTTGTAAAAAAAAACAGTTGAGAGATGCTAAGTCGATGCGACTGGCCGAGTTCAGCTCTGCCCTCTTATCTATGGATTATTTTCACTCTTTCTCTCTTGAGTAAACAATCTATTCCTACAGATAAACAGGCACTAAAAACAGATGAGTGTATGAAAAAACTGAGCTACAGAGCATCGGCTTTCAAAAAAGTGACAAATGGCAATATACAACTTCATTCGCGAGAGCATCTTTCAAGATGATGGCTATGATGACAATAACTTTCACATGAATCGGAAGAAGTTATGGAAGTCTATTGGAAAAGCTGGAATCAATCACTAGCAACAACAACACTCACCCGTGGGACACCCCAACTGCTTACCACCTCTTCCAAAACCAGTAACAACTCTTCCTTGCACAAAGAGCGGCAAGTGTCGTTCACAGTCCATGATGAACCAGAAATACCTGTAACTGTAATATTAATCATTGTGAGTGTATAGCACAAATCACTAAAGCATAACTACGCGATTGAAATTGCATCTTGATGCTTTGGCCCTCAAGAGTCTTCATGATTCAATGCTTGGAAGGTTCTAATTACACGATGAAAACTTCATGTTATCCTTAGCAGCGCGGAGGGTAAGGATCGAGAAAAACATTACCCGAATAAAGATCAAGACTCATTTCACTGGTAATGGACGCATGAAATTCATCCGCAAACAGACCGATCTGTCGTAAAATACTGACCTAATTGCGAAGTCATGCTTTCCTGCACTCAAGCTGTTGGCTCGATCTTTTCCTGAACAAGACGGGTGCAATGGCCTCGTGAATCGAATTAGCTCTCATATTCATGCTCAGCCTATTGAACGGACCCTCCGCGGAGAATTATTCACGAATATTTTAGCGTATGTGAGATTCTCACATATCACTGATATCCCGAGATAAGTACTACAATACTGTAATTAAATAGAAAAATGGAAATCGTCGTCCATTTCAAGGTGAACTATGAATCAACCTGACATGGAACAACTAGAGCAAATATCATCGCAAGAGTTAATTCCAAACTAACAACAGTAGTAATGCACGCATGAAAACTTGCTCTAGAAAACTTGCGATAAAGCGCAATGATGAAGGGATATCCGTCCTCGCTAGCCAGTCTTGATATCTCTAAGCAGAAACATGTTGATATCTCTAAGCAAGGATACTGCGCTAGTGCATCGCCGCTTAAACTTTTGAACGGACTTGAGGCAGTGATCACCTGGACATTGATTTTTTCCAAATACCAGCTTTTTGCATGAGGTGATCAAATCACTCACCGCGGTGCTTCTCCCCTACTGAGGCTTAGTTTAAAAAACTATATTCTCTTGCTAAAGAACGTTCCCAAGCACCATTACCGGCTCGCAGGACCGGCTGCCCCTCCCTCTCAGCGCTCTGAGGAGGTGTCGCCCTCCCATTACCACAGCTTCTTTCCAGTTGTATCGAGCAAAATAGATCGTAATGCTTTCAGTGGTTGAGACGCCCAATTTTTGAAGAGCCCTTTCCCAGACCGTATATTTGGATGGGTTTTTGCTCTGCCTACTACATTCCTCCTTGTGCCCCTTGCGAATTACAACACAGATTCACTCTGTGTTTAGGTGCATATTTATATGATCATTCGGTTCATGCTGGTCTCTCTTCCTTTTCGTATAGATGTTGGCCTGCCGCCTATATTCCTTCCAAATTCAGTCGCACTGGTCGGGGACTAGCTGAGTCAAAAAGCTTCGGTCCAATACACGCAAACACCGACACTGGCTGCTTTCATAGTCCGCCGGCCGGCCCGCGAGCGTGCCGGCCGGGGGCAGCGCTTGCCCCTTGTTTACAATTGAATCTTGATCGATACCGCCGGCCGAGTAGTCCCCCGGCCGGCTCAATCGTGGGCGGCGGACTATGAAAGCTGGCAATAATAAATATTGGCAATAATTCTTTTCGTGTGATTGATTGGTCATTCACATCTCTATTTCTTTAAGACGCTCAAAAGAAATGAAGAAATGTAATTGTAAAGTATCGTGCGACAATGGTCAAATGATTTTGGTTAGTATCTAGTAGAGACTACCAGCTACTTGCTTTTTGACCATGAAATGAAGGAGGAATACCACGCTTTAGTATGGCATTCTAACATTAGCACAAGGAGAGTCGGGACGACCGACTGACATTGGTTTTTAAATGTTGGTTTCTAAACGTTAACTTAATTTGAGGAAATTTATTCCACTAAGTTAAGAGCACTCATTAGACAAGGAAGTGCTTCTTTTAGAGAAAGCCAAAACAAAGTTATAGCAGACAATTGAAGGCAGAAAAAAAGGAGGACAACACACGTAATCGAAGGTACAAGCAGTTACCACTGTAACTATGAAGCGAGCAAACCGTGATCGAAGAGTTTATTCCTGGTTCACAAACCATATCTTGTGGAACGAACTGCATTTTATATTAGCTAGAAAATTACCAGTCCTTGGCTATGACGTCCGAGAATCGGTTAAGTGAATTAGAACTATGAGATTCCTTCCAGAAACGGCTATTCACGGGAGATTTTGTCGTTGAAATTGCGACAAACGATTTCGATCTCGCAGTTAGGCTTCAACATCCTCCAACTTACTAGTATTTATGTTATCCCTAGAAAATGCAAGCCAAGAAATCAACAGTATGTTGGGGTTTCAACGAAAATATTTTATAAAATGTCTTCCTATTTAGTGTTCCCCTTCAATAAACTGGTGTACCTCACTCAACTTGTCCCATGAACCACCCTTCCTAAACCTGATTTCGAGGACACTTTCAGGAAGAGCAGAATTTTAACAAAGACTACGCTCGTCCTTTGAATATCCTGTCTGACTATATATGAAGACTTTACAAATCAAGCACTTCTCTGACAATGCTTTTCTCCAGAATGTTCCCCATCCTGCACTAAGGAATAATTACCGTCGAGGAGGGTGACGAGCTAGAGTTCTTTGAGGCAACAAAGATGGAGGGTCTTCCACAAACTAAAGAAATATTCGGTTCAGCATTTTAAAATGGTACGTCGTTCCTTGGCTCATATCATATCATAACTTTGGCAGAAACATAGTGACTAGATACAATCAAAGGTGCAAAATTATGTAAGGATACATCTCAAAGGATAAAAGTGAGGAACGTAGAGAAGGTAGTGTGACAAATACAGTGAAGATAAAAGTGATACAGACAACTAGTAAGGGATACTTATGAACAAAAGCTTCGCACTTCCTATGTCAATGGACATAAAAAGCTTGCGTCAAGCCTTTCCCTCTGTAGTTGTCTACTGCCTGCTGAGTTGTCTATGTTGTGATCTGCGTTTGGAAATCTTCGGAGGAAAGGAGGCTAAATTGGAAGGCTTTGCTCAGAGTATCGCTGGCCCATCAACAACTAGACGTCTTGAGACCGTTTTAGATTACCTTCACTTTACTAAGCATTGTGGAAAAACGATGGAAGATGTTATTTCTCCGCCAGCTCAGTGCAGTCAGGGACGGGTACCATTGTTAAAGTGTTTGTACACGTAGTCACATTCAGATCAATTGTATCAAAATTTCTTTTCACAGTGTAATTCTTTGTCGTTGAAGAGCAGCTCCTTCTTAATGTTTTCGTAGGGGCGAAAGCCAATAAACTGAATTATGTAAAAACTTGGTTAATGCAAAGAAAACGATTGATAAGATTCCATGACAACACTGCTTTCAAACACGAAACGTACCGCTAGCATGATAATTCTGCATTGGTTCGTGCTTGCTCTTGGAGATAGATATTCAGTCGTTTGCAAGCTACCTCCGACTCGGTTTTCAGCTGAATATCAGTCGTCTCCTGGCTGATCAGCGATAGTGCAGATAGAACCGGGTGCACGTCAGCAGGAAGGGCTCCAATGCCAATCCAAACATCAGCAATGCTGAATGTAGAAAGGCCACTCTAGGAGAACATCATAATGATCACATTGTTAGGTTGAGTAATAAGTTCGTGGAGTATTCTAATTTCTCTCTTTTACAACGACTTCTCGCCGTTTCAGAGAGTGTATATCTTTGATTCGATGAAAATCTTTCTCTTCTACAGAACTGGGTCAATCGGCTACTTGAGTAATGCATTTTAAACACTTTTGGGCCTAGAATTGGAATATTCATAATGGGAGGGAAAAAGCAACATTTTCGACACATGCACTTCTTCGCAGGCCAGAAAACTGCTGAACGTATGCTAAGAATATGTCAGAGGTGATTGAAGTGGTTGGACAAATACAAAAATGACGTTTTCCACGTCGACGACTCGCTCCGCAAAGGGCACCATGTACTGGGACATGTTTGAAAGGAATGTCACCGCCACCAATGAACTCTACATAGTTCAGGTACACTGCGCGAAGGAGGTTATGCGACAGAAAAGACCTCATCGACAAGCCCATTATACTCCTTCAAAACCTTCGAAACAATGCCAAGCCCTCTATCGCACAAGTGGTCAAAACCGCACTTCAAGAGCTCGAATGAGAAGTCCACCAGCTCTTTCTTTGGACCTTTTACTGACGGATTATCCCTTTCTCCGTTCTCTGTCGAACCATAGGAGGAGCAACACCTTTGACAATGAAGAAGTTCTCGGAAACGGGTTAAACGACTTCTTCGGTACCAGATCACGCAACTTCTTGCGGAGCGGCATCGAAAAACTGGTCTAAAGGTTAGAGAAGCTATTCAACAGCGTCAGGAGTACATTGATTGATATTACTAACGATCTTAATTGAATAGATTAGAAAAAACTCTACGAAAGTATTCTCCAACCTAATATAATAGCAGAATCGAGAAAGGATTTTAGTATAATAACAAAATTGCAATAATCCTTCTTATATATAAAGCAGTAACTTGGTTTGTCGGTTTGTCGGTATGTCTGTTTGTCGGTATGTCGGTATGTCGGTTTGTCGGTCTGTCCG